CAGTTGAATGTGATCCCCCAAAAAAGAATAAAAATCTTCACTGGCCCAGAGAGATAGCTTAGTAAGCCGAGTGCATGATCCATATACTGGAAGCTCAGGATTAATTCCCAGCACACATGGTCCTCAAGCAAGACTGGATACAAGCACATAAGTCACGGTCACAGTTCTCCTGTTATTCATCGATTTGCTCGAGCGGGCCCAGTAACATCTCCATCGTGAGACTTGTTGTTACTGTGTTTGACATATCGAATATGTCACGGGGAGCTTGCCAGGCTCTGCCGTGTGGGCGAGATACTCTTAGTAGCTTGCCGGGCTCTCTGAGAGGGGTGGAGGAATCAAACTCGGGTCGGCCATGTTGGCCGCGTGCAAGGCAAATGCCCTACCCGCTGTGCTATCGCTTCTGCCCAAGCATATAAGTATGTATGATCAAACCCACCACCACTCACATCGTGCAAAGCAAGTGCTCTTCCTTTGATGTATGATCCTTCCCCCTTTTTTGGCAGGGATTGTGCATGCACACCTGGTGGTACCTAGGGCATACTCTTGGTTCAGCAGTCAGGGATTACTACTAGTGGGCTCAAGGGACCATATGGGGTGCCAGGGATCTAACCCAGGTAAGCTTGTGTGCAAGGCAAACACTCTACCTGCTGTACCATTGCTCTGGTACCCACACCTCATTTTTTAGAGTCAGCACTCACTATGTTCTGACACTTTCATACCTGACGTTTCACTGCTTGACCCAGCAGTGGTGGGGGAGGAGGAACATGGAGAGCTGGGAGTTGAACTCAGGGCCTCACTTGTGCTTGGCATGTGCTCTGCCACTTGAGTTATCTCCTGGCTCTCCGTTTATTTATTTATTTTTTTAATTCAGATCATGCAGCGTTCAGTTCAGATCAAGTTAAAGAGTATTATGTTGGAGATTGAGGTCAATAGACTGAGCAAATGCTTTGCATATGGGAGGCCTGTATTTCAGATTTATATGAACCACTGAGCACTGCTGAGTGTTACCTACCAAAAAAAGTCATTTAGGGCTTTTATGGGAAATAAAATATTTTTCCAGATTATCAGAGACTGACATAAGATTTGCAGGAGCTATAGTACAGCGATAGGGCATTTATTTGCCTTGTACGTAGCCAACCTGAGTTTGATCCTCAGCTCTCCATATGGCCCCTCAAGTCTGCCAAGATTAATCACTGAACACAGAGCCAGGAGTGACCCCTAAGCAATGCCGGGTGTGACCCAAACAGAACGATTCACAGAAGAAATATAAAACTTAGTAATAAATGAGAAAAATGAAAGACTTAAAGTAATGAATAATCTAAGTGCTTATGTACCAAAGAAAAGCAATTGTGGCAGAGTAAAATAGATAATTGGAATAGACTGAGGGAATAGGCCCTGTATAGTTGTATATGGGTTTTTTTTTTTTTTTTTTTTGCTTTCTGGGTCACAACCGGCGATGCTCAGGGGTTACTCCTGGCTCATGCACTCAGGAATTGCTCCTGGCGGTGCTCGGGGGACCATATGGGATGCTGGGAATCGAACCTGTGTTGGCCATGTTGGCTGCGTGCAAGGCAAACACCTTACGCGCTGTGCTATCCGCTCCAGCCCCAGTGTGTTTTTATTTTTTTAACTTCTATTCCACATCTCTGGGCAAAAGTTTTGCATGTGTTTGTATAGATTTTTTTAACCTTTGCTCTCCCATCTCCAGTAATAAGAATGCTTCCTTCTCTAGGCACTAAGAGGGCACTTCTTACATAGGCATTCACCCTTTTTTTTTTCTCTTTTTGGGCCATGTCCATCAATGCTCAGGGGTTACTCCTGGCTCTGCACTTAGTCATTACTCTTGACAGTCTGTTTTATGCACCTAGAGCTTTTTTCATAAAGTACCTGCCCTTATATTTCTAGCCCTTGTCCTTTGTCATAAATACATCATAAATACACCCATACATCTGAGGGATTATCTTTGGACTCTCAGTTCTATGATCTGAAGGTTTTCTTTGTTTCAACAGCATGCAGTTTGAATTGCTAGAGTTTTGTAGGAAAGAAGGCAGGAAAGTACGTTGCCTCCAAAGTCCTTTTTTTCCCTTTATAATTGCTTTAGTAAATTATGGAGTTATATGGTTAATTGTGGGAATTTTATGGGTCACTATGAATTTTAGAAACATTTTACATCTTTGAAAAAATGTCACGCAAATTTTGATGTGAATTGTGTTACATTTGTAAATTGCTTTGGGTAAGGTGGTCATTATTTTTTTAACTGTTTTTTTTCCCTTTTAATCCATAAACAAGGAATATGTTTCTATTTTTTAATTTTTTTTCAAAAATTATTTCTAGTTTTTACTAAATAGGTCTTTCACCTCCTTTGATAAATTGATTCCTAGTTATTTGGGCTATTATGACATAGTCATGTCATAGAGTCAAGTCATTGGTACAGGTTTTGTTAAAAAAAATTCTCTTCTACATCATTCTTAACATAGAATTGCATTTTCTGTGCATTGATTTTTGTGCCTGCTATATTACTGTTTCAGGGTATTATTCAGTGGAGCCTTTAGCTTTTTTTTTTTAATGTGTAGTATGCCATCTGCAAATAGTGATAGTTTGAAAGCTTCTTTACCAGTCTAAATCCTAACCATTCTGAGTTCTCTTTCTTGCTAATTCCCTAGAGCAAGGACTTGTGCTATGTTTAATAAAGTGAAAATGGACTTCATTGTCTTCTGCTTGATCATAGAGAACAGGTGTTTTCTCCACTAATGATGATGTTAGGGGCCAGAGTACTGGTATAGTTGGCAGGGCATCTGCTTTGCACACAGCCAACCTAGGTTTGATTCCCATCCCATATCGTCCTCTGAGCACTGCCAAGAGGGATTCCTCAGCAAAGAACCAGGAGTTGCTTAGCCCCTGAGCATCACAGGGTGTGGACCAAAAAACCTAAAAACAAAACAAAACCCAAAAAAGTGATAATGTTAGCAAAAAAGTAGTAATTTAAATAAAACAATAGAGTACTGGAATAAAGATAGTCCCTCAGATCAGTGGAATAGAATGGAAAATTCAGAAACAGACCCTCAGAAGATATAGTCAATTAATCTTTGATAAAGGAGTAAAAAAAATATGAAGTGGAGCAAGGAAAGCTGCTTTAGCAAGTGGTGGTGGGAAGACTGGTTGGCTGCATGCAAAAAAAAATTTATTTCAGACCTCTTTTTAACACAATGTGCAAAAGTCAAATCAAAATGAATTTAAGATCTCAGTATCAGATCCAAATCTGTAAGATATATAGAGGACAACATAGACTGAACTTGCCATGACATTGAAGCTAAAGGCATCTCTAAAGATGAGATGCCACTTAACAAGCAAGTAGAATCAAAAATAAACGAATGGGACTACATCAAATTAAGAAACTTCTGCGTTTCAGAAAACAATGACTAGGATAATAACAAAGGCAGCCCACAGAGTGGGGGAGATTATTTGCCCACTACTCATTTAGTCTAAGATCTATAAAGCACTGGTAGATCTGTACAAGAAAAAAGTCCAACCCCATCAGAAAATGGGGAGAAGAGATGAACAGAAATTTTCTCAAGACATACAAGTGACCAAAAAGCATATGGAAAAAATGCTGTGTATCACTAATCATCAGGGAAGTGCAGAGCAAAACATCAATGAAATATCGCCTCACGCTGAAGAGACTTACGTATCAAAAAGACCAAAAACAACTAGTGTTGGCAAGGACCTGGGGGGCAAAGTACCCTATTCACTGCTGGTGTGAATGTCAGTTGAGCCAGCCATTTTGGAAGAAAATATGGTCATTCCTCAAAAGACTGAAAATTGAACTTCCATACAACCCAGCAATTACACTCCTTGAAATATACCTCAGGTGTCCAAAGCACAATCCAGAAAAGACCGCTGTACTCCCTGTGTTCACTGCAGCAATATTCACAATGGCCAAAATCTGGAAAAAACACAAGAGCCCAAGAACAGATGACTGGATAAAGAAACTGCAGTACGTATATATACATACATGAAATAGTCTTCAGCCATAAGCAAAGATGAAGTCATGCAATTTGCTGCTACATGGATATATCTTGGAGAGTATCATGTTGTGTGAAGTTAGTCAAGGAAGAGACAGACACACAATGATATCTGGTGTGGGATATGTGAAACTTCCTTCAATAAAGAAATTTTAAGGGAGTAACAAAGCCCCAGAGTCAGTAGAAATGAAGAGCAGAAGTGTTCTTCACTAGGAAGCTTGACCCTGGAATGGCAGCTTATATCTTCATTCTTTTTCACTTATTTGATCTAGTGCTAAGGCAAATGCCATACCCACTATACTATCCTACCATCCCAAGAAATACTTATTGAAAGGTTATAATCAATCTGGAGAGATAGTATAGAAGTTAAGGCACTTGCTTTGCATGCAGCTGGCCTGTTTGACTCTCAGCACTGCTGAATGTGGCCCCACCAACCCCTCCACTTCCCCTCTCCCCCAAAAAATTTATGTCTACTAATTGTACTGGTTGGTTGCCTCTAATCTTATATATATAAAGAGTTCAGTTTAGTAAATGGTGACTATTAAAATAAATTTTTTTGCTGTTGTGACTTGTACTATTTTAGTATTGAAATGAATCTGAAATATGTCCATCAGAGACCTGAAATCTAGTTCAGTCCTCTGCCACTCAACACGCTCACATCCACATATGCACATGAAAACAAATTGAAATCTGTAAGGGGTTCAGTAACTCAGGGGTCAAATTGAGCTTAAAAATATTTACTACCTCATTTTTTTTTTGGATTGTTCTGTTTTCTTTAACAGTTTATTGCCCACTCTGTCTGATATTAGCAGTGGAGATACATTTATTTTCTAAGGTTTAGGGAAGACTTTGAAAATAACTTAATATGTTCATAAAGACCTCTTTCTGTTCTTTTAACTATAAAGAGCTACTTGCCAACCAGAATAGAGGAAAGAAGTAATGTAATTGGTCTAAACAATGACCTTTTTCTGTTTGTAGACCTCCGTGAGTGAAAGCCTTCAGAGGGAAGCTGCAAAGAAGCAAGCGATGAAACAGGTAAAGAGAAGAATGTGTTTAATTCACTTGGTGCAATAACTATTTTAGCTGTATAAGTTTTAGTGTCTAGGTACTGATCAGTGTGTTTAAAAAAATAATTCTAGCTTTTTTTTGGGGGGGGGCGGGGAGTGAGTGCACCTAAGTGGTGACCACAGGCTGTTTCTATCTCTGTGCCCAGGACCATATGTGTGATCCAGCCACATGTTAAGCAGGTACTGTACCTGTTGTACTCTCTGTGACCCTGAGGAAATAATTCTATCTTGATCCTTTTTCTGAAAATATGTAAGATGTTTCATTTTTTATTCACTCTGTATTCCCCCTTCCTTTTATTGTTGCTTCTGTTGCTCTGCGAAATGTGCTGCTTTCCAGGGGGTTGCACATTATTGTGCATTGGTCACACATGCTGCCACAGTGCTGATCAAGTTTTGTGCTTCTTTAGCCATGGTGAACTTCTGGTCATGGTGCTTGCACATCTTTGTAATTGTGCTTACTGGGAGTCATTTCATTTTGTGGTGCTTACATCTGACTGTAGTGCAGCTGGAAGTTGCTTTGGCACTGGGGATTACAGTCAGCAAAATTGTCTGGGTTGTATTTGCATAGGTGGAATATTGGGGACTTGAACTCATGACCATATGCTTGCAGGACAGGCACTCATTTTTTGGCGAGGGGATTGGAGGCCTCACCTGACTGCACTCAGGGCTTACTCATGGCTCTGCACTCAGGGATCACATGAGATGCTGGGGATTGAACTTGGTTCAGTTGCATGCAAGATGCAGGCCTTATGCTCTGTGTTATCTTTCCAGCTCCAAGAGCAGCACTGTATAGCCATTATGCTATTTCTCTGGGCTGTTCTTGGTTTATATAAATTTCTTCCCACGCAAAGAAAAGGTCAAACTAAACTGATTTTGTGAATTTACTGTTATTTGAAATTCATCTATCAAGAAAGCAGAATCTCACATAATTTTTCTGTAGACTTTCTGTCACCAGGGCAGGTACCAAGTATTTGGTATAGTATTTCCAAGATGTTTTTGTTTGGGGGCTATACCTGATTGTGCTCAGGAATCACTCCTGGAGTTGTGGAAGAGTGGGGAGGAATTGTGTGGATTGAGACAAGGATGGACTCTAGGTGTGGAAGGCAAGTACCTTGCCTCCTGTACTAACTATGTCCCAACTTTTTTTTTTTACGTATCTTCACTATCATAGTAATTCTCGCAGTCCTTCTTTAATACCAATTAAGAAATCTGGTATTTGAGGGCTGGAGGAGATAGCTCAAAGAGCCAGAATGCATTTTTTTTTTTGCATGCAAGAATGCAAGAGGCTCAGGTTATATCTGCAAGTACCTCTTGAAAACTTTAAAAGAGATAAATTACTCCTCATGATCAAACTGCTAGTCATAGAACTGGTATCACAAGACTTAACAATGACATGGTGCATTTCTTTTTTTTTTCTTCTTTTTTTAAAATTTTAATTATTTTCCCCTCCAAGATTTATTGGGGGTGGGGGAGGGAGGGATCATTTAGGAGCAGGGATCAAGCTCAAAGACTCACATGTCTCTACTCCAGACCTTTGAGCTGTATCCTGACTCTTCCTTCACGTTTTGCTTAGACATTTTGGTACAAATTTTTCCTTAGTCAAGTAGAATCTTACACAATGATAAATGTAGTAGGTACTTTAAAGTGCTAGACATATGCTAACTACTTTTGAAAAATTATCTTTATATTATAATTCTATGAGCTAGATGCTTAGTTTCATTTTTGTTGCATTTTGTAGTTTGTATTTGCAGCAATGAAAGCAAATAGGACTTATGTTCTAATAATTTTATTATGAGATGTACTGTATAACTTAGCCATAAAACGATTAAAGCAAAACACTGATTATTGTAAATGCTGAGTGCTTTGAAACAGTGAAGTTTAGAAAGTTCATGACGTTTAGCTCACATGAATGGGAAAATTAGCTCCAGAAATTCCATTCTGGTGACCTTTTCAAGGTCAGCAGGTGCTTTGTGTTTTAGTGTTCTTCTTACCTGTATGTGCACACATGGTACAGTTTTGGGGGAACTTTTTGTTTTTGTTTTTTGGTTTGTGGGACACAACCTGGTGATACTTAGAGGTTATTCTTGGCAGTGCTCAGGGGACCATATGGGACACCAGAGATTGAACTGGGTTGGCCATGTGCAAAGCAACTGCCCTATCCAGCCCATCTTTTTTTATTAAAGCATTAATCCCAAATCTAAATTTACATGATTTGCAAATTTGTGATGCCAGGGACTAAACCAATATTGGTACATGCAAGGCAAGCTCCTGTACCCTTAGCCCTATAAAAAAGAATTTTACTTGGTGATTCAGTTTACTAAAAATAATATGAAAATATAGTATGTGGTATAGGCATCTCAAAATTAGTGTTGTATGCTGGAAGATATAACTCAGTAGTAAAACACATGTCTCATGTATGAGGTCCTGGGTTTGATTCCAAGGACCTATAAATTTTCGGACTTGAGAGTTCACTGGGTCCGGCTTAGAAAGTAAAATTTTGATCTCTGGCACCTTATGGTCCCCAAAGCGTCATTATTAGGTGACTACTAGCACAGATGCAGAAAGAGCCCTGGAGCACTACTGAGTATGACCCAATAAACAAAACCCAAAAAAGGTTAGCTGTTTCTGAATCATTCTTGGACTTTTTTTTTATGTGAATAATTACGTTACATATGAGCATTACTGTATTTATTAAACATACCATTAAATACATTGATAAAGTTTATTTAACAGTTACTCTTGGTAAATGTTCTGTTTTAGGTTCATTAAATTATCACAAATTAGAAGGCATAAACAACTAGCCTTATGTTTTTTTTCAGATGAGGAAAACTGAGGTACAAAAAGAATAAATTTGTCCAAAATAGCTCATACAAGTGAAACATAACTGCATATGATTCAAATTTAAACCATTAGGCTTTAGAATTGATGTTAATATTTTTGTCTCAAATATAATTGATATTGTTAATGATACATGTTTTTATTTCTGATCCACTTAAAAGCCAAGACTTTCTGTGGTAACTACTAGCTGGCTCATACTACTAAAACTTTTATTTTTAAGACCAAACTGGAAATCCAGAAGGCCCTTGCTGAAGATGCCACTGTATATGAGTATGACAGTATTTATGATGAATTGCAGAAGAAAAAAGAAGAAAATAATCCGAAGTTGCTTTTGGGAAAAGACCGGAAGGTTTGTAGCTGCAAATGGAAACTTTCTTTGACCTGCATTTTTTGTCTTGATCTATTTAGTATGGGAATGATCTGAGAAAAAGCTTTTAGGTATTTAAAATATAAAAATCTCAGTTTCAGATATTGTAGTTTTGATGTAGAACCCAAACCACATTTATTATCCTAAAGGAGAAAGTTAACTTTCCAGTCGACATTCCCACCAGCAGTGAAGGAGGATCCCTTTCTCGCCACATCCACGCCAACACCGGTTGCTGTTGTTCTTTTGGATGTGGGCCAGTCTCTGTGGTGTGAGATGATATCTCATTGTTGTTTTGATCTGCAACTCCCTGATGATTAATGATGTAGAGCATTTTCCCATGTGCCTTTTAGCCATTCAGATTTCTTCTTTGAGAAAGTTTCTGTTCATTTCGTCGCCCCATTTTTTGATGGGGTTGGATGTTTTCTTGTGGAGTTCAACCAGTACTTTTTATATCCTTGATATCTACCCCGTGTCAGATGTGTATTCGGCGAATGTCCTTTCCCATTCTGTAGACTGTCTTTGTATTTTGGTCAGTTTCTTTTAAGGTGCAGAAGCTTCTTAGTTTAAGACAGTCCCATTTGTCTATCTCTGTTTTCACTTGCTTGGCCAGTGGCGTGACATCTTTGAAGATACCATTAGCTTCAGTGTCATGGAGGGTTTTGCCAACTTTGTCTTCAATGTTACTTTTGGATTCCGGTCTGATCAGCCCTTTTGGAAAACAGTATGGGCGATTCTCAAAAAATTAGAAATTGAGCTCTCATTTGACCCAGCAATACCACTCCTGGGAATGTACCCCAGAGAGGCAAAAAAGTATAGTCGAAGTGACATCTGCACTTGTTTGTTAATTGCAGCACTGTTTATAATAGTTAGAATCTGGAAAAAACCTGAGTGCCCGAGAACAGATGACTGGTTAAAGAAACTTTGGTACATCTACACAGTGGAGTGCTATGTAGCTGTTAGAAAGGATGAAGTCATGAAATTTACATACAAGTGGTACAATATGGAAAGTATCATGCTAAGTGAAATGAGTCAGAAAGAGAGAGACAGACATAGAAAGATTGCATTCATCTCGGGGAACATAAGGTAACAACATAGGAGACTAACACCCAAGAATAGCCGAGATAAGTACCAGGAGGTTCACTCCATGGCTTGGAGGCCAGCCGCACTTATGGGGGAAAAGGCAGCTCAGATAGAGAAGGGAGCACCAAATAAAGGGTGTTGGGAAGATCCCAGGATGGGAGATGCATACTGAAAGTAGACTATAGACCGAACATGATTGCCACTCAATTCCTCTTTTGCAAACCACAGCACCCAAAAGGAGAGAGAGAACAAAAGGGAGTGCCCTGCCACAGAGGCAGGGTGGAAAGGGAGGTGGGAGGAATACTGGGATTAGTGGTGGTGGAGAATGGGCACTGGTGGAGGGGTGGGTACTCAATCATTGTATAACTAAAACCCAAGCGCAAAAATTTGTAAGTCTACAACTGTACCTCATGGTGTTTCACTAATAAGAATTATAAAATTTAAAAAAAGTTAATTATCTAACAGTTTTATATATATTTCGGGTTTTTTTTTTTTAAGAAAGAGTAAATTCTTTTTTTTATTTCGGGGTATTTTAAAGAAGTTTTTTCCCTAGAGAAAAATTCTCATTCAACTAGTGTTTTACCATCCTCTTGTTTTTCATTGCTTCCTAGCTGATAACTAGGATAAATCTGTACATATTATGATCATGGTTTAGTTTGGAAAATATTGGGCAGGAATTGTTCTTTCACAAAAGCTGATTTTTAAGGAGTTTGGCATTTTATAGTATTTAGCAGATAGTGGTATAAAATTATATGAATACCATTTAAAATATATTTTTCTAATGTGAAAATCTAGTAGCAACCTTTCTTATAGATACATTGAAGAAATGTTAGGCAGTATCAACTTTTTTAATTGAATCACCGTGAGCTACAGTTACAAAGCTTTCATGTTTAAATTTTAGTCATAAAATGATTGAACACCCTTCTCTCCACCAGTGAACTTTTTCCACCACTAATGTCCCTAGTATCCTTCCACCCCCCCCCCCCCCCACACACACACACACGTGCCACCCCTCCTCCTGCCTCTATGGCAGACATTTTCCCTCTTTCCCTCTTTTTCTCTACTTATGGGCATTATGGTTTACAATACATGTAATGAGAGGCCATCATGTCCTTTATCTACTTTCAGTACACATCTCCCATCCCAAATAATTCCCTCCAACCACCATTGGCTTAGTGATCCCTTCTCTATCCCAGCTGCCTTCTCCCCCAGCTCATAAGGCAGGCTTCCAAACGTGGAGCAATTTTCCTGGCCCTGTCTCTACTGTCCTTGGGTGTTGGTCTCATATTATATTTTATATTCCACAAATGAGTGCAGTCATGCTATGTCTCTTCCTCTCTTTCTGACTCATTTCACTTAGCATGATACTCTCCATGACCTTCCACTTGCTCGAGCGGGCCCAGTAACGTCTCCATTGGAGACTTTTGTTGTTACTGTGTCTGGCATATCAAATACTCTCGGTAGCTTGCCGGGCTCTCCAAGAGGGGTGGAGGAATCGAACTCGGGTCGGCCATGTTGGCTGCGTGCAAGGCAGACGCCCTACCCGCTGTGCTATCGCTCCAGCCCTTAAATATCAAATTTCATGACTTCATCTTTTCTAACAGCTGCATAGTATTGTGTTGTGTAGATGTACCAAAATTTCTTTAACTAGTTGTTTGTTCTTGGGCACTTGGGTTATTTTTCAGATTCTGACCAGTGTTAACAGTGCTGCAGTGAACATAGAAGTGCAGATATCATTTCTCTCCACTATGCTTTTTTGCACCCTTGGGATATATTCCCAGAAATGGTATTGCTGGGTCATATGGAAGTTCAAATTCTAGTCTTTTAAGGAATGCCCATATTGTTTCCCCAGAGGGCTGGCCAGTCGACATTCCAACCAGCAATGAAAGGGAGTCCCTTTCTCCCCATATCCGCACCAGCATTGGTTCTTCTCTTTGATGTATGTCAGTCTCTGTGGTGTGAGATGATATCTCATTGTTGGTTTGATTTGCATCTCCCTGATGATTAGTGATGTAGAGCATTTTTTCATGTGCCTTTGGTCATTTGTATTTCTTTTTTTGAGGAAGCTTCTGTTCATTTCTTCTCCCATTTTTGGGAGGGGTTGGAGTTTTTTTTTTTCCCTTGTATAATTCTACTAGTGTCTTGTATATCCTAGATATTAACCACTTATCAGATGGATCAGTCACAGTCACAGTCCTCCCGTTGTTCATCAATTTTGCTCGAGCAAGCCCAGTAACATCTCCATTGTGAGACTTGATGTTACTGTGTTTGGCATATTGAATACGTCACGGGGAGCTTGCCAGGCTTTGCCTTGCGGGCTCAATACTCTCGGTAGCTTGCCGGGCTCTCCGAGAGGGGCGGAGGAATCGAACTCGGGTCAGCCATGTTGGCTGCGTGCAAGGCAATTGCCCTACCACTGTGCTATCACTCCAGCCCATATCAGATGGATATTGGGTAAATATTCTTTCCCATTCCTTGGGCTCTCTATTTTGGTCACTGTTTCTTTTGAGGTGCAGAAGCTTCTTAGTTTAATGTAGTCCGATTTGTTTATGTTTGTTTCTACTTGCTTGGTCAGTAGTGTTTCATTCTTAAAGATACTTTTAGCTTCAGTGTCATGGAGGGTTCTGCCAACATTTTCCTCCACCATGCCTCATGAATTCATTCAGGTCTGATATTGAGGTCTTTAATCCACCTTGATCTGACTTTTGTGCCTAGCGATAGACAAAGCTCAAAGTTCATTTTTTTGCAGGTAGCTATCCAGTTTTCCCTGCACGACTTGTTGAGGAGCCTTTCCTTGTTCCACTTCACATTTCTTGCTCCTTTATCAAAGATTAAGTGATGATATATTTTGAGAGTTTGTGACAGAATATTCAACTCTGTTCCATTGACCTGTGGGTCTGTTTCTAGCCTAATACCATGCTGTTTTAATTACTACTGCTTTGTAGTACAGTTTGAAGTTGGGGAAGGTGATGCCACCCATCTTCTTTTTCCTAAGGATTACCTTTGCTATTTTGTGGAGGTTTATTGTTCCATATAAGTTTCAGGAGTGTTTTGTCTATTTCTTTCAAAAATGTCTTAGATATCCTTATAGGGACTGCATTAAGTCTGTATATTGCTTTGGGGAGTGTTGCCATTTTGGTAATGTTAATCCTCCCTAACCATGAGTAGGGGATGTATCTCTGTTTCCTAGTGTTCCCTCTTATTTCTTGAGGCACTAATGTGAATGGGATTTTTTTTTTTTAGTATCTCTTTCTTCTCTTTCATTATTTGTATATAGAAAAGCCATGGACTTTGGGGTGTTGATTTTGTAGCCTGCCACTTTATTATACAAACCTTTTGTTTCTCGGAGCTTTTTTGTAGTCTTTAGGATTTTCTTGGTATAGTATCATATTATCCACAAATTGTGATAGCTTACCTTTTCTTTTCCTGTCTGTATGCCCTTTATACCTTTTTCTTGTCTAACTTCTATGGCAAGAAATTGCAGTACTAAATTGAATAGGAGTGGCAAGAGTGGGACAGTATCAACTTTAAAAGTAAAAATAAAAACCACTAGGGAAATTAATACTTAGTTTGAGATTAGAAAAAGTAAGATGGCATTATAAATAACATCTATCTTTATACATAAACATTTTATTGAAAATCTTAGTTTTAATGATCTGGCTAGTTTGGAGAAAATAATAGTTGGACTAGTTAGTTCTTACCAAATTAATAATTTCAAAGGACTGGAGAGATAGTACAGGGGTAAGAGACTTGGCCTTGTATGCAGCTGAACCTAGTTCACTGTGAGGGTGTATGACTGCAAATACCCCTCCCCTCAAAAGCAACATTTTTGCCTTTTCTTTTTTTTTAATTTTATTAAATCACTGTGGGATACAGTTACAAAGCTTTCATGTTTGAGATTCAGCCATACAATGATAGAACACCCATCCTCCACCAGTGCACATTTTCCACCACCAATGTCCCCAGACAAGGTCAGACCTGAACACCTGAAGAACCTGCCATCAGTACTCATCAGTACACTGGCTTGGCTCTTCACACGCTACCTGTCTGAATATAAGTTTTCATCCCAGTGGAAAACCAGCAGAACTGTACTACTTTACAAGAAGGGAGACATCCACAACATTGGCAACTATCGCCCGATCTGCCTATTGTCTGTCATCTACAAGTTGTTCACTTGAGTCATCCCGAATAGGATTGGCAGAACACTAGATGAAGGACAACCATGCCAGCAAGCCAGGTTCCGCAAAGGATTCAGCACCATCGACCATATCCACATGATAACCAAGCTCATTGAGGTTTCTCGGGAGTTCAAGATGCCGCTCTGTCTAACGTTCATTGATTTAAAGAAGGCCTTTGATTCTGTTGAGACAGAAGCAGTCATTGAAGCCCTAGCCAATCAGGGCATTTAAACTCAATATATCAGGATCCTCCATGAGCTGTATTACGGATTCACTACCAGGATCTCACCGATCTACAAAGAAGTAATCATCCATGTCAAGAGAGGGATTCGGCAGGGTGATACCATTTCACCGAAACTCTTCAGTGCCACCCTCGAGAACGTCATGCGACAACTGGAATGGGAAGGAATGGGAGTGAAGATAGAGGATTGGCAACACCACCTCTGCTTTGCTAATGACATTCTTATAACACCAAACATCAGCCAAGCAGCACAAATTCTGGCCAACTTCGACTGTGAGTGTGGAAAGGTCGGACTCCAGCTGAATCTCACTAAGACAATGTTTATGAGAAACAGTCTCGTTCCTGACGTTCCATCTGCTCTCAACGAAACGACCATCTTCTGAATGCAACAGTTATGTGTACCTATGTTGAGAAGTCAACATGATAAATGACCTGGCACCTGAGTTGTGCAGGAGGAAGAGAGCGGCTTGGAATGCCTTCAAGAGTGTCAAAGAAATAACTAAGAAGACGAAGAACCTCCAGTTTCGGGCACATCTCTTCTATTCCACTGTTCTTCCTGCATTAACATACACCTCAGAGACCTGGGCCCTACGAGAACAGGATGAGAACGCTATTTGGGTTTCCCAAAGAGGAATCGAAAGAGCTATACTTGGAGTATCACGTTTCACTCAAATGAGAGAAAGAATCTGGAGTTTCGACCTTCAATGGTCAAGAATCAGGGATGCTGTCTCGTTTGCCAAGGCGTTGAAAATCAGATGGGCTGAACACATAATGAGATTTGGAGACAACTGCTGGACTAGAGCCGTTACCAACTGGACTCCATGGAACGTCAAAAGATCGCGTGGACGCCCACCAACAAGATGGACTTCTTCGTTAAGACCCTGAACGATTGGTTTGAGACTCTTTGTGTTCCTAGAACAAACAGACGCCATTGGGTTACACTAACACGTGACAGGTATAAATGGAGACATTACCGGCGCCCGCTCAAGCAAATTGATGATTAACGGGAGGTCAAGTGATCAAGTGAAGTGGTCAGTGTCCCCAGTATTCTCCACCCCCACCCCCACCCCCATCCCAGTCCTCACCCTGCCTCTGTGGCAGACAATACTCTCTACTTTGGGGCCATTATATTTTGCCCAAATTTTCTCACCACCCACCATTCAAGCCTGCCTGCCAGGAGCAGATGCTAGATAATTTATTTTCCAGTGCTTTTTTTTGAATATCATGCTTTGTGGCCATGCACTTCTGGAATTCTACATTGTAAATGGTTGGGTTCCAAAGACATCTCTGTAGGGCACTAATTCATTTGGGGATTCAATTGGGAATCTCTGGACCAGGGCTGTTGGTGCACCAAGATGGTGCCTGGAGGAAGCTTGTGGGCGGGACAGGCTGCGGAGCAGGCGGAGATTGCCTCTTTTTCTAAATTATTGTTTCCCCATAGTAAGTGATATCATCCTTGAGGGATATTGGAATAGTATAGAGGGTTAGAAGTAATCTTGGATATGATTGGAGGACACTTCCTGTTTGTTTGGATTAGTAAGGTTAAATTGGGGTGGGTGGGGCGGGAAGGAGTATTAAATGTTTCCTTGTTTTATGTTTTGGGATCCTCTAAGTGATCTTATTTTTCCCCTTTCTAAATGATCTTATTTTTGACCCCTAGCCAAAGTATATTCACAACTTGCTAAAAGCAGTTGAAATCAGAAAAAAAGAACAGGAAAAACGAATGGAAAAGAAAATACAGAGAGAGAGAGAAATGGAAAAGGGAGAATTTGATGATAAAGAGGCATTTGTGACATCTGCTTATAAGAAAAAACTGCAGGAGAGAGCTGAAGAGGAAGAAAGAGAAAAGAGGGCTGCTGAACTTGAAGGTGAATATGGGGCAGGGAGAAAAGGGTAAAATTAAATAAAAACAGAATTCTACCCTGTATTTAGCAGTTTGTTTTGTTGCTGAAATTTTTAATTGCAATGATAGTACAATTATATATATTTAACAATATTAGAATTTGGCTGGAGCGATAGCACAGCGGGTAGGGCATCTGCCTTGCACGCAGCCAACATGGCCGACCCGAGTTCGATTCCTCCGCCCCTCTCGGAGAGCCCGGCAAGCTACCGAGAGTATTCGATATGCCAGACACAGTAACAACAAAGTCTCCAATGGAGATGTTACTGGGCCCGCTCGAGCAAATCGACGATCAACGGGAGGGCCTTTACCTTACCTTACCTAGAATTTATATTGGTGCTACTATATAATCCAGGCTTATTTCCATGTGGTAAGTGGCAACAACTTTTGTAGTCTGGCAGAAATTTCTAAAGACTAGTGTCAGTCTACAGACCAACAATGGAAAAATCAGTTAGATATTCTATGCTTAACTAACCTTTCATTGTACCTTGTTGAACATGTTCTCCTATTTTGTCTTTCAGCTCGTTTGGATGTAACCAAGCAGAAAGATCTTAGCGGATTTTATAGGCATCTGTTAAATCAAGCAGTTGGCGAAGAGGAAGTACCTTCATGCAGCTTTCGTGAAGCCAGGTGAGACATGGCACATGGATAGTTAAAAGATATTGTTAATAATCTATGATTGAATCTTTTTTAACCTCTGAAAAAAATGTAGTATTGCTTTGTATGTTGTCAGCCAAATCTGGCCTAATTGGATAAAGGATATAGATTTATATTTTCATACTTCAAAAAAATTATATAATTCTAAAACTGTATCTTAAAGACAAAAAATAAGTTCCAGTGAAGAGCCTGAATTTGAGCTGCCTGTTGAGAAAATAGTATTTAACTCTCGAAAACATTTGACTTTTTCCAATTATTCTTTGATTGTGGTTAGCAAAAATGAAAACCTTACACAAAAAGATTCTTTCTGAAGGTTCTTGCGTTCTGCATATAGACGGGCTCATTTTTCTGTTTTACTTCCACCAACACTGAAAATGTCCTGAATGATAAGAAATTAGTAATTTGTAGATATCTACAAGCTAAGTAATGATCAGTACTTTTACACATTTGGAAAATCAAAGTATATGTAAACCTAGTTTGTTTAAATATTGAGAAGATATATGTATTTCATTTGCTTGTTACAATTGATAATTTGGCATTTTAAATTTTTTTTCAGGCTTGAGATTAAAGAAGAGAAACCAAGGGGTTATCCTGATGAAGTAATATCAAAGAACAGAGCTTCACATGAAAAAAGCAGCCTCCAGACTGTTGTGAAAGTAGAGAATAACCCAGATGCAGACAGTGACTTTGATAAGAGCAGTGAAGATAATGAAGTGGGAGAAAATAGTGAAGTGAACTGCAGGAGGGCAGGGGGTGCTGAAACCTCCAAGAAAGATTCCAAGCATCACAGAAATCAAGCTCGTTCACAGTCATCTAGTGAAGAAAGAGAGCATACTACCAAATACCACTCCAAAAGTTCCAAGTCAAGAGGACATGAGAAAAGGGAGAGTCAGTACCAGTCCAGGGACCAGGAGAACTATTACACTGACCGTGAATACCGAAAAGAAAAGGATTCCCATAGGCACAGAGAATCCAGTCATAGAGACTCCCACTGGAAACGGCATGAGCAAGAAGATAAACTGAGGGGAAGAAGTCATAGAGAACGAAGTGACAGAGAATGGAGAAAGGAGAAAGACAGAGAGAAATACACCGCAAGAGAACAAGAAAGAGATAGACAACGAAGTGATCATGACCGGCACAGTGTGCAAGGAGAGAAGGAAGAAAAAATCAAAGAAAAGGAAGAACATACGAAAGCAAGGAAAGAGACATATGACAACAGTGATAAACACAGAAACAGAGAAAAACGAGAAGGAAGTGTTCAATTTTCAGAAAAAAATCAAGAGAGAAAAGAAAGCAACCCAAATCATAGGACAAAAGATAAATTTCCTGACGAGGAAAGACACAGTAAAATGAAACACGTGGAAAAGGACAAAGAAAGACATGAAGAGAAACCATCTAGTTCTGAGACACCACTGGGAGCAAAACACAGAATCACAGAGGAAAACCAAGAGACTGACAAAGAACATACAACTCCACGTGAAGCAGTGAGCAAGTTTGCAAAGCGGAACAATGAAGAAACTGTAATGTCAGCTAGAGACAGATACTTGGCCAGGCAAATGGCACGGGTTAATTCAAAGACATATATTGAGAAGGAAGAAGACTGATGACTGCCCGTGTAGGAAGAGCTGTGGAAGTCTAGATTAATAACTGTCAGACTGTATGTGTGAATGCATAAAAGAGCGTTTTGATTGTAGTTGGGAGAGAATTTAAAGTATTTTTTAAAATTAAAGTATTTTTTCAAAATTCAGTTTTTGTTTAGGTTTATCTGAAAAGTCAGTTCTTTTATGTGATTGCCTAAATTGATGCTATAATATTTATTTACCAATACCACTTTGTTGGTTGTATGCAAGCAACCTTAATAGTGTGCTAAATTCGGGGACGTAATGAGGAAAATTAGCTCCACTATAAATGTAGAACAGTTCTGATACTGGTTTGTGTGAGGGCTTGTTCATTTTGTAAGTATTGTGTTTCAGATAAAGATATATGGATTTGAATAATGGAAAATACTACTGCTGTACTTTATTTCTGAAATTTGTATAAAAATGTAAACATGGATCAGACATTCTGTCAAAGTAACTGTCTAGCTTGCAGCATATTCGGCAAATGAAAATCGCGGTCTGGAGAGATTGTCAGATGTTAAGGTACTTGCCTTGCACACAGCTGGCCCCAGTTACATTCCCTAGACCACATACGGTACCTTGAACAGCACTAGGATCCAGCCCAGAGCACAGCCAGATATGGCCCAAAAAAACAAAAATAAAATTGTACTTTGTTTATACATACACAATTTTTAGGGTACATATTCATTCTTATATTTTAAAATATCACTTATTTAGGCTTACGGGTTATTTTTAAAGATTAATTTTGAAACCCTAGTAAGTTGGTTAGGTACATAATTTATTTTAGCTAGAAAAAAATTATGGAATTCTTTAATTATAAATACAGGTATCTTGCTTATGGTCATGTCATATTTGTGCACTCTAAAAGAGATAGTGTAGCTTGTTGCAGGTTTCATTATATGTCAAAATAAAACAAGAATTTCTGTGCTAAGCTTTTGAAATTTACCAATTGAAGTTGTATACTATAAATAATTTATGTGAAATAGGATGTGGTATAGGGAATATACCATATTTAATAGGTTTCCTAGTAAGAAAGTGCTGTGTACATTTTTGTCATGAATAGTTAACCATTTTTTATTTTTATAAGGATAAACTTGGTTTAATAAGAACAGTGGCTTTTAAGATAAGCATTGTTTACTAAAGATAAAATTTAACATTTAAAAGTCATTTTATTATACTTTTTAAAGCCAAAAAGTAGAGACTGGAGAGTTGACTCATTAGAATGCTGCTTTGACCTGCATGAGGCCTGGGTTCAATTTCCAGCATTTCATGATCTTCTGAGCACCGCAGGAAATAACTACCTAGCACAAGCCAGGAGAATCCCTAAGTCCCCAAACCAAAATAAAACCAGGGGGAAAAAGGAAAAGGAAAACTAATGCCCACTCCTCTTGACTGAGACATTAAATATATTCCAATCTTTGGGTCAGTGCTCAGGGGATAACCCTATTGGGGTGAGGGTGGGGGACCATGAGGAGTACTGGGATTAGAATTAATGTTTTAGAGATTAGAGAAATAATACAGCCAGCAGGTAAGGCTCCTACCTTGCATGTGCCTGATCGGGTTCAGTCCCCAACACCTCATGTAGTCCTTAGAGTACTGTGAGGAGTGACTCCTGAGCCCGGCTGGGTTTGGCCCCAAAAACAATAAAAAAGAACCTTTCTGGGACTGGAGAGATACTATATTGGGTAAGGCAATTCTTAGCACCTCATGGTTCCCTGAGCCCACCGGAAGTGATCTATCCTTGAGCAAAAGGACAAGGTGTGGTGTGGCAAAAGGACAAAACTGCCATGCGATTATTTTCTACTTATTTGTCACAACAGTTAAGGTGTGTCCCTTGTAAACAGAAGATTGGGTTTGATTCTCACATCCCATCCAGCCACTCTTCCTTTTGATCAGTGAGTTTAGGCCGTTCATGTTGAGTAATATAAAAGAATTCATTGAAATAAAGGAATTTATTGATAGCTTTGTAATGTGGATTCTGGGTGTTTGTGAACTTAGTCTTTAGTACTTTCGTATTTCCTTCCCCTTTACTTTGATACCTGCCTTTGATTTTTCTTTTTAATACAGTCAGGTTTTATTTGTCTCTTGTTTGTGTCTTCTGTGTGCGTTTTCTTGGAGATACCACCGAGGTTCTTAGTTTATATCCCCTCCTAATTTCAGAATGAACCTCATGTTTGTCAGACAGCGTATTATTACTGTCCTTCCCTGAATTTTGTGTTATAATAGTATTTCTAAGTAGAGTTTCTTCTTTTATGATTCTATCCAGTGTTCTTGCAGAACAAAACTTGGCTTGGGAAAACATGAACTTTGTTGTTTGTAAAGCTTTGTGTCACTCTTTGTATTTTGGTTTCCTGTTTTACTGTGTGTTGGATGTATCATATCAATCTCTGCAGTCTGCTTTAAGTTTTGGGGCAGAGGGGTCTCTCATGTGATTTTTTTTTTCCTTTTGCTGCTGCTAGGATTGTCTTTGGGTTTTGCCATTCTTCTGTTTGAGCTTACTGTAATTGAAACTCCGCTATTTAAGTAGGAGTATATGACATCCTCAACAGGCAAGTTTTTAGTTGTAATAAATTTAGTCAATAATTCTTCCCCATTCTCTTTCCTCCTCACCTTTAGGAACTTCTAATAATATATTACTCTTTTTTGAGGCTGCTCCATAAATTCTTTTTTGTCATTTTTCTTGATTTTTTCCCTATTTTTTTTGGTACTTTAATATATTTTAAGTACATGGTTCATTCTTCAGCTTCTGTCATTCTGCTGAGATTCTCTATAGTGATTTTTAGATCACCTACTGTATTCTCGTTTGGTGAGTTCCAGTTTATGTTTTCTCATACTTTCTTTTCCTTATTGCACTCTTCTATTGCCATCCTCAATTCAGTGAACATCCTTATTTTCTCTTTGAAGTTTTTGAGGGTTCTCTTTTGAAGGTTCCTGTGTTCTCTGACTCTTTACTGGGCCTTTGTCTATTAATGCAGGTGAATCAGCTTCTTCGTTGTGTCTTGTGAGGACAAGGGTGAGGGTCCAAGTTCTGTATAAACCTACTTATAATAGTCACAGGTTTCTGTTTATAAATCTTACCCAGGCACTCTGGTCCTGCATTTTTGTTGCTCTGCCCTCTGCTGGGAATTTGCATATGCTTGTGGTGTCAACTATAACCCTGAGGACAGACAGACCAGTGCTGCCACCCAGCCTTTGCAACTGCCAGTGCCTGGCCCAGGCTGAGGTGTTGATGTCCTACAAGTATGAGGGCAAATAAGGGCTGTTGTTTGCAACCATTAGCGCTGTAACTACATGCAGGCCCAAATCTACTAGGATACTTGCATTTGCCTGCACTTACCTGGCCAACTTGGTAGACTTACCTAGGAAGCCACCTGTGCTCAGCTCTAACCCGGTGTTCTATCTGTTCAGTCATTCGGCAGAGGGCTGAGCATATATGCAGCAATCAGATGAGGTTCAGAGGGCATGGCTTTGTTTCTTTGGGGCAGCTACTGTCACTCAGCTCACACTTGCTCTGCCCTCTGCTTAGAATGTGGTTCTTGTCTGTGAACCTCATTTTACTCTTTTCTATTTGGAATTATTAGGAAAATCTAGGGCAGCTGGAGCAATAGTACCATTTGTAGGGCATTTGCCTTGAATGCAACTGACCTGGGTTTGGTCCTTGGCATCCCATATGGTCCATGGGGCACCACGAGGAGTAATTCCTGAGCTCAGAACCAGTAGTAACCCTTGAGTATTGCTGGGTATGACCCAAAAACAAAAAGGAAAAAAAAATTTCTAGGAATTGTCTTAATACATACGTGTCTAACAAAATCTGCTTCCATTGTCTAGAGAGCCATTCAAGAGACACATGACAGATGCATAAAGAGCTGTTGGCAGGTTGGAAGATGGTGGACTCATGTCCTCCAAGAAACCATTTTCTGGACGGTCATAAAAGCGGACTTTAAGAGAACAAGAACAGTTTTAGAATAGGGAAACAGGGCTGTAGATCTGTGGGTGTGGAAATGATCAGTAAATTCCCATGTGGACTGATCCCCTGAAGTCCACACCTTCTTACCAACAAAAATAAATCAAAGGTCTCTGAGTTTACCATGTCTTACTTTTAGAGGGAAGCATAAGATAAGGACAAGAGTCTGCACAGAAGACTTTGCTGGTGTTTTCTCCTCTGATTTTGAATTATCTTTCTTTTAGGCCAATTTCATAAATGATAATTTCTAGGATTGAAATTCCAAATCTGTAGGATATGCATTTGTTCAGCTTTAGTAGACATTTCCAATATAGTATCAAAATAACTTGAATTGTTCACATATTGGCGCCCACTCGAGCAAATCAACAGTTAATGGGAAGTTAAGTGATTAAGTTCACATACTTGGCAATCATTTTTATATCTTCTTGTTTTAATTTTAACCATTCAGGTACTCTTGATACTTCATAGTGAAGTATCAAGGTTTTAGTTTACAGTTCCCTGTATCTCCTTTCTGAATATTTTATTTCACCTGTTTTTTGTCTTTCCTCACAGCCTATTCTGGTTCTTTGCAGTATTCTAGACAGGAGTCATTTGTCTTTGCAAATAATTTCTCCCCCTCTGTGGCTTGCTTTCTGATGCTTATTGTTGCTTTTGAATTAAGAGATTTTTAATTTTGATAAAATTCAACTTAACTAAGAATTACTGCTACACCTGTGTGTGGTGCAGGGGTCAGGCTGTAGTACCAGAGCCCAGACTTGCACAGTACGTGCTGGCAACCCTCTGTGATGGCCCTTTTAATTGCAGAGCAGCTCTGCAGCTGGCAGGGGGATGAAAGGGAGGGGGATAGAGAAAAGAAACATTAAATTAGTTTTTCAAGTGGCACTAGACACATTTAAGGTGCTCAGTTGCCACTTGTACAAAAAGTACAATTTTATAGAACATTTCTATCATTGCAGAAAGTTCTGGATGATGCTCTTAAAATCATAGTTGTCTTTCACATTTAGATCTATCAAATACCTGGAATGAATTTTTTTTACTAATACAGGATATGACAGAGGAATTAAGATTTCTCTTTTTTGTTGTTTCTTTGATGTTCACTGCAAACACCTGGCAGTGCTAAGGGGCTACTCCTGGTTCTGCAACCAAGAATTACTCCTGGCAGGCTCGGTGAACCATATGGGATACTGAGGATCGAACCCAGGTCAGCAGTGTGCAAGGCAAGTCTCCTACCCACTGTACTATAACTTCAGCCCTGGAATTAAGATATTTTCCCCTGGGGCTGGAGCTATAGTACAGTGGATAGGGCACTTGCCTAGCATGTGACAGACCTGGGTTTGATCCCCAGCATTCCATATGGTCCCCCAAGCACTGCCAGGAGTGACTCCTAACTGCAAAGCCAGACATGTCCCCTGAGCATCATTGGGTGTGACCAAAAACCAAAAAAGATTTCTGTAACTCAATGTTCTTCCACTGATTT